TTCTCAATGAATGTCCATTTCATCTTGGCCTGTTTGGGAGAGTAGGTGGCTTCAGGAGGTGGTTGCCCGCGGACACCTGGTGTACGAGCGGTACGATACGGTGTTGATCGTATTGGTGTCATCTTCGGTGTTGCAGCAAGGCGAGTCTAAAACCGTCCGGATTAAAATCCACATTTATTTAATATATTAGTATATTCCCATCCATGTCATGCAGTACTGTGAGCGGCTCAAAGTAAAAGTCCTAGTTCAGACAATTACATTCAGATTGTTTATCTACCAAAGCTGTCTCTTTCGAGCCCTAGGAATATAATCCTAAGAAGCAGCAAAGCAAGTGCAACTAAGAAAAATCACTAATTATGGGAGCCGTTTTTTCCTTTTGTCTGGTTCGAAATTGGATACATCTCTCTCTATTACAGTGAGACCTTACCTCCGCTAATGGGGTACTAGCTGGGAAATTCACACCCTGCATAGTATGTATTTCTATTAGGGTATGAACTCGAATAAATGATTTAATAGAAGGAATAAAAGTTTAAAAAACCCAAAATTCAAAGTGAACACATGAAATGAGGAGATGTAGTACCACCCTAGAATCAGACGCAATTTGGAGCTAACGCAGGTCAAGCAAGAAAGTTCTAACTTTGATGAAAGGACCTTTAATGGGATAGCCAGACAGATAATCGTCCTACTAAAGATAGGTGTTTTGATTTAAACTGGTTCCCTTTTTCACAGCATTCCTGACCCCATTTCCGAGCAACCATGAAGGGTTCCGCAACCCCCACGATAAAATATTGCTCAATTGTCCGGAAACTGAGTGCCAGTTACCTGTTTGGCTTGTTCTTTTTGAGCTTTACGCAATCGATTGATTTCTTCAGTGGTTCGTTTCATAAACTGTTCACGCTGTCGATCCTTATTCTCCAGCTGACGGATGATGTTATCACGACGTCTGAAAGTGGATTAGATCTTTAGTAGACTGTTCACTAAGTGACTTATTCACTGTCGAAAACCTATTCTTAGAAATTTTATATTAAATTTCTTGGTACTGACTAAATACTGAATCTGGTCCAGAATCTTACCAGCAGTAACAACCACGACAAACTACCCTACAAAATACAAATGCGGCTTCTAATGTTAAAGACGGCTGAAACCGCAGAGAATTAGCGTGGAGATAACGCAACGGAAAACGCACATTACATTTGCCCCAATCCTTAGGTATATGAAGAAGAAAACTTGCTTTACAACCCTTTCGAACAGTATGAAAGAAGTTAAAAGTTTCATTAACGCTAGAGATAGTTTTGATTGATATCCTCGGCATTTTGACTGACGTTTATTAAAGGCACAATACACGATAAAAATGGTTTCTGAGATTTCCCTATAGTATTAATTCGAGGATCCTCTCCTCCCCACCCCCAACCCATACGTGCCGTTATAAGCTCGAAAAATTCCGTGGATAGAGCACCATGAGGACACATAGATTGTATCGTGTGAATGCCACACCCCATGGTAGACGAATTTCAACGGCTTTATAGAAGCTGTACTATCACAAGGGACTTCCATGTAGGCAGATCTAATATCTTCTCATAACCCATGGCGACAGTGAAAGGCTGTTTCGGACAATTGCGGCTTGATATAGTCATCTCTTTGCGCAATAAGGGCAAGTTAAATCTCGCACATATACCATTACATGCCATTCCTGTCATAGTGATCTCGTAAACCTCCTTTTCCACTTCTTCAAAAACCTTGAAGTAGGCGGACTTTATCGCTTTTTCTCCGCTTATGAACTCCTTCACATCAACACCCGCTTTCCAACATGGAAAGGGCACCTCAAAATTATCGCGAACTATGCCTTCAAAATAAACGAGGCATTCGAAAATCTCTCAAATAGGGAGAACAAAAAAATACCTCGCTTCTTTATCCAGGGCTGCCAATTTTTTCGAAGCACTGCTCTGCTGTTGTTGAGCTTTCTTCATCTCTTCTTTTATTTTCTTCATCAAATCCACCTTCAAAGATCGAATAATATGTAAATATACTGATTTCAGTGGAATAATTTCTAGAATGTCCAAGTTTAGCTTCAGCTCTTTTTCGAAAAAAATCGATTTCGCAGAGAATTTAGCTAATAAATTTTCAAAAATACTATTCATGTGAAATGTTCTCCACACTAATTAGATTGCTCGGTGGACGCAGTTAACAAAACAACCAATAGTCAGAGGACCGGAGCACTTCCTCACCTTCACTCGTTTCAACTCCTTAAGTTCAGCTTGATATCGCATCAATTCTTGGCGTTCACGTTCTTGCCTGGCCTGCAAGCCATCAGGAGTGAGAAAAGAAGAAAAAGAAAGAGAAAAGAAGAACCATGTCATGAAAATGAACAAAGTGACCGCAAAAATCTTCATTAACTCTCACCTGCATTCGTTTATGTTCTCTTTCGACCATTTGCAATTTGCGGAATTCATTTCTCATGTCAGCCAACTTTCTCTCATACTCTTCTCGGATCCTCTGAAAGCTCATAACATATCAAATTACAGTAGAGGATCGATAGATGATGGACAACCCGACCAACACAACTCAAACTCCTTGGGATTCGACTGACAA